ATGTGGAACAGCCTACCTGATAGCATCGTTGACGCTCCGAGTATGAACATCTTCAAAAACAGACTAGACGAAGCTATGCAGGAGCATATGTTCAGTCTTAAAATGCCTAGCAAATTACGGACCAGGCAATAAGTCCAGCAGCTATCTCAATCAATCGTGTTATGGGAAGATCGGGTTCCATAGGCCGGATCCTTTGTGAATCAAGTCACGAAAAATTCAAAAATCGGCAACAGGCCATGGGCCTATTTCTTCAACGCCGACACTTCTATTCTATTCTATTCTAGTAGATAGTTCATGTTAGTAACATTCCGACTCTTAAACATGTAGAATGTGGTTTGAAAAACATCGCCGGCATGACTTTAAAAACATGGTGGAGCTACACATCTAGTGCCTCTAAACCTATTCTCGACCTATAAACTTCTCATTTAACCTTTATTAAACATATATTGAACATACAATAAATCTATTACAAAAGAATTATTCTCGTTGTAGAGCTGCCCGAAAGTTCGTCAGTTATTAGCTTATTTACTTGTATTTTGTTAGTTACTGCATGACGAGTATATTTGTGCCGAGATCGTGGTTATTTCTTCAGCTTCTGATTTATCTTAATTCAAGTCGATATTTCAAAGTGGACTATGAACAATATAAATTTATAAGTTATGGCTCGGCCTTGCCAGCAACAATCAAAAGCTGTGATCTTCTTAAGAAAAATAGGCCAAGGAAAATACAAACTATATGTGAGTCAGTTTTCTCCTAATAACGCATTTTTGATTACTATAAAAATTATTTTAATGGAGCAAAGCATATTCAATTATCAATGGCCATTTTCAATGCGTGCAATACATCCATTGCCCGCCGGAAATGTTATTAAGCCCATCTAAATAATTTTATGCTCGTACTCTAAAAGTATTATTATTTTATGAAAAAATTTCGTTAAATTCTATCTAATGTGAACTATATGTAAGTCTTAAACAATTAATACAGAATCAGTTTCTATTAACTTAAAACGATCATGAAATTCCTTCTCCCGAGAAATGACGAAGTCAGTCCCTAAACGTTTTCTACCAACATATAAAAAATTTTCACTAGATAGACTGAAGTAATTTAGACGGATAAAATTGAAACTGGTATTCATGACCGAACAAACAGCTTCTAATCAGTCTTACTTAGACCATAGTTGTCATGGTAACATGGTTTAAAAACTGTTTAATGACATAATTCAGTTAAGGTGCAATGACGGCTACATAACATGACAGCTTTAAAACTCTGCGGACTGTGCACTTAAGATTCAAATTACTTTTCTGTCGTCTCCCGCTTGCATATTTTCGACATGTAACAAGTCTCGTGTATAACATGCATGCAGTATACAGGAAATTAAACGTCATCGGCGATGTGTTTCTATCGTAAAAATTCATTGAAAATTCATTCATTTTAAAATGTTTTATTGTATGCATATATATTAGGCTCCTAATCTGACAAATATCTGCATTATTTCGTTGCTTTCTCGCGTAAATGAATCAAGCAACCAGATTATGTTTACATAAATATTATTGAGGGCTAGTTACTTATAAAATACAAAAAGAAATATTCTTTTAAAAACATATATAACATGTACGGATATATTTATGAGATACTTTATTACGGACTCTGATACACCACTGAATCCCAGCGGAATACCAGCTTAGTTCAGTGCCCAGGTTTCGATTCTTAGTACCGCACTCAGCGAGGGTTGCCAACAATACTTATTGAGGCCTGCCTACCGAGAAGACATTTAGGTGCTGATTTTGACTGGGCAGTTTTTTAGTGCAGGTAATTCCCTATTTTTAAACAATTTTTTATTCCAAAAGTGGAATGAAATTAGCTCGCGAAGTAAGAGTTGCTGTGTAACATTTACTTCGCGTATCATTAAATAAAATGAAATCTATATACAATTATATATTTACCGGAAACTGCTTCAAGATAAATAATTATTATTCGTATTGTGATTACAGTTTTCTGTGGTATATAACGTTAAGTTATATTCAATAATTGCATAAATACCTCTGTGCAAGGAGCGAGACTCACTGCCAGGCTAGACTCGCCACATTTCACTCAAACTTCAATACTTACAGCAGGTTTTAACTTTCCATTTTTGCAGGGCTTCACACATATCCAATACTCCATTCACCAATGCATAATTATCGTGCAAATAATATATCAAATGAAGTTATTATTTTTCATCAGAAATATTGACTATACAGTTGTACATATCATTATCTTTTTTCTACTACCACAGGTATAACGGTTATTAAAACATTCTCGAAAATATAATATTGCATAGATTCAGTTTCTAAGTATTATTCTATTATAAAAATGCAGTAGAAATATCTACAGAAAGTTTAGCTATGTTGGCACCACGCCAAGACTGACGGACGCGACTGTACGCTGTACAGGTCGCTTATTGTACTCTACTATCTCATTAATAGGCATGTACATTATTGTATTGTATTGTCATTTAATTGTATCTATTGTAATGTAATCTACTACACGTGCGTGGCCTGGAGTACAGTTTTATCATAGATGTATACGTCCGGCCATTGTAATGAGATGTAATACACGAAAATTGAGGTTCTTTAAAATTTCAGTAATTTTCAGCTGAAGAGAAAAGCATGTTAGCAAATTTATTAGGCACTTCTGATAACTTTGGCCTGTTACTGTAATGTTTGTCATAGTTCATTTATGTTCCACTTATGTTTCAGTCATGTTTTAATCATCTTTCAGTCATGTTTCCGTCATATTACAGTCATGATTCAGTCATGTTTCAGTCATGTTTCAGGCATGTTTCAGTCATGTTTCAGTCATGTTCCAGTCATGTTTCAGTCATGATCCAGTCATGTTTCAGTCATGTTCCACTCATGTTACAGTCATGTTCCTTTCATGCTTCAAACGTATTAGAGCCTTGTTCTTTTCATGTTTCAAGCATGTTACAGTCATGTTTCAGTCATGTTTTGCTCATGCTCATATGTATCACATCTGATACTTCCTTGAACGTCTGATTGAAATTGCGGCTACATCTGAGATCACAATATCCATTTCTCGAATATCCCCCTGGACATCGGAGGGATATTGACCTGTTGGTTCGAATATCCCATCGCCACAACACACCTGCTCTCTGAAACACGTCTGGCAACCCGCCCACTTCTGCCTGTCCTGTTTCCGGCCACAAAAAGTCTCCTTGACAAGACCAGCATTAAGATTAGCGGACGGAAATTAGGAAATCTCAATACGGGACGATCTTCCTAGAATAGAATAGAATAGAATAGAATAGAATAGAATAGAATAGAATAGAAAGAATAGAATAGAATAGAAAAATATAGCGGAAATTGGGAAATCTCAATACAGGAAGAATCTTCCTAGAATAGAATAGAAAAAGAATAGNGGAAATTAGGAAATCTCAATACAGGAAGAATCTTCCTAGAATAGAATAGAATAGAAAAATATAGCGGATATTAGGAAATCTCAATACAGGAAGAATCTTCTTAGGCAGTAAACTGCAGATAATATACTATAGACTCTGTATATATGTATAATATATACATATATACAGATTCTGTATATATTCTGGGCAGTATACAGCATATGTATTCTGGGCTGATATATATATAAGATATGATCTGGGCTGATATATTTATATATATATGCTGATAAATATTCTGGACAGTATACAGCAGAGAATATACATGCATAATATAGAATCTCATTTATTGTTAATCAGGCAAACATTTTTCATAATTAAAAGTGTATAAGTTGTCGTTTGAAACTTTTTAGCTCGTCAAAGTTAAACTTTTTACTGTGGTTTGACTTAAAAATTTGAGTTGAAATTAACATTTGTGATCGGGAATATCTTTTCTGGCATGAAGGCATCAGCACAAAAATTTTTACGCCCGGTATGCGTGAAAAAAATAAGTAATTTAATTAAAATTTGAATAGATGATTTGTTCACATTTTATATATAAATAATTAATCATTTCATTGTCTTCCTTTCTGAAGCTTCGCTCAGTACATGCATATCACGTAGCCGAGGAAACGTACGTTCACATATACAGTACGTTGTCTCACACACACATTTTCTCGTACACACACGTCTCGTACACACACGTCTCGTGCACACACGTCTCGTACACACACACGTCTCGTACACACACGTCTCGTACACACACACCTCGTACACACACGTCTCGTATACACACGTCTCGTACACACACGTCTCGTACACACACGTCTCGTACACACGTCTCGTACACACACGTCTCGTGCACACATTGGCACGTATTCCGTGCGCTGTACGTGGCCGCCGTACGTACACAGCTTAAAATGGCCATAGCCTCGCCATCGCCTGGCGGCACAAGCTCCCAGCAGTGCCGTTCTGGCTGTGCTGTGGTGAGGGTGTGCGGCGCGGAGCTCCGGTACACTTTCATAGCCTACTCATGATATCTAGCACAGCGAGTTTTGTGTACATTATGGAAACATACTTGAGCACATGTAACATTGGATATCAATGTTCAATAATGAGTTGTTACTGTTTCAATGGTCGAAGATGTGGTTGTGATGTGCTAGCAGGTCTGGTGGAAATAGCCCTCTAGTGACACCAGCCTGCAGACCGGGGCTCGTGCCCAAGACCTTTTGTTTCCTTACAATTTTGTCCACGTACAAAAAAATATTTATTACATTGTGTTGTTATTACGTTCTAAATCTCCAAATTTTAATTGATATCAACCACGTCTAACTGTAATTAACTTA